AATCATAATGACTACACCCCTCAACAGCCAAACATTAAGAGCTGTTCATTTTCGACATTTTTTGTTTTCTTTTATGAGTTGTTTGTGGGTATATTTTAAAGAGTGCCAGTCGCCAGGCTATAATCTTTCTTGGTACCAATTTAGAGTTGCTGCAGTTATGTGCCATTCGTGTATCCGTTGTATTTGCTCATTCGGGTGGTAAAATATCCTCTATTGCGTACTTTCATCCCAGTAATAAATTTTTCAAGATGTGGACTTCCTGGTTGTGGCATATGTTACTGTCTTTAGATGTGAGTGTCTAAAGAAATCGGATTGCAGTTCCAAAACTTCCAAACGAATTTATTTTTTTCCCAGCTTTCTACAGAGAGAAGAAATTATCGGAAGGGGGTGTTTAATCAAGTACTTTAACAGAGGATCTATACAAGCATGTTTAGATTGCGAATTCTAATGAAGCGGCTTCTCTTTGGCAAGATGACTAACAGTTTGCCGTCTGAACAGGTTTGGGCTGTGATTGAAATCAAAAGAAATACACATCAGACAGGTGGTCTAACTGTCCAGAGAGGCTACTTTAAAAAATTGAAACGAAAGAAATCCGCCAAGACACCGCATCATAGAATAAAAGACTTGGGGATATGTCTGAGGTGTCAGGCTTGCTGTGAGAGGCGCTCTTGTCAGCTTAATCATTTCTTTCCATCACATTATAATACCCTTTGCAATCATTTGTTATCGCAACCACGTGTTTGGAAAAACACCTGCGAGCGGCTGGAAAGGAAGTCTAGTGCGGTCCACTCCATCACATTCAATCAGACTTTCCCGCCAAAATGCATCAATCTTTAATTATACCTCCACTCTCCACACAGAGCACACCTGTGTTCCTCCAACACGATGACGTTTGGTTGATAAAATGAAAGGTTTAATTATAACCGACGTCACAGCAGAATTTTTTTACGGGAAATGATTTTATTTAAGATAACATAATTAGTAATCCCAATTGTCAAGTGAAACAGTTTTGCAACATGAATCAGTCGACATGCAGAGGGTGGTAACATGCAGTCCATTTAATTTCATGCCTTGTTGCCTACTATTGGTTCATAATTAAAGGGTAAACAGTGACTTTTGTTAATTTAGCAACTTTTAAAATATTTTTGGGGTCTGCATTATTATTTTTTTTTGCTATTTTAAAAGCCGTATTGGTGTTTTCTTAGTATTTCGTATTCATGAGAAAAACTATGATGTCATGTCGAGAAAAGAAATTTATTTTCCCAATTTTCAATTTTCATATTTCGGAGGACTAAGTGTTCTTTCCTTTTGTACTTCGTTTGTTTGTAACTTTATAACAGTAAACCAATCTGCAACCCCTTCTCAGATATGTTTTATTGAGCTCATTTCGATTTCACAATTTGAATAGAATTAAGCCATCACAATGTCAACTGTGACTTCCCTGACATCACAGCAACAACGCCCTCCGCTGTCCTGAAAAGAATGGACAATTTTAAATGTTCAAAATGTGCATTAGCTCAAAATGGCTGTACTTATCATTTCCATGCATAAACGAGTAGCATGAAGCTTCACACAAATAAGTCTGAGAAAAAGTCATTGTTTGGGCCGTTGACGACCACGTCACACTTTTGTCACAGAATTGTCACAAACTTGCAGTTCGTCCGGGGAAAAATTACACATAACTTTTCTCTGCACTGCATTTTACATCACTTGACACAGGAAGGAAACGAGACTGGAACGATTACTGGAAGATGGTTGTTCTGCTTGTCAGCAGGTGGCAGACATGACGTCATTTAGACAAACTGCATGCATAGGTGTTGCGAACTATCCATTCAGACTTAGTCCGTTAGCAGTCTGTTTGCAATAATCTCTTGCCTCTCCAAACCAATGAGTCAACAGTCCAGTTTCGTGCTTGGCACGGTGGAATTCGGTTCACCTGTACCTGACACACTGTAATTTCTACTTTCTTGATTTCTGTCCGTGCATTGAGTTGAGCAAGGGCGGATCTAGAACCGCTGGGGGGCAAGATTAATACTGTATCGTAATCTTGATGACCTTGATGATGGGTACATCTAAATTTCAGTACTTTTTACACGCTTTAGGTCTAGGGGGATTAAAGCAGCCCGTCGTTTTCTTGAAAATCTTCCCTCTTTTTTAAGAATGACTATCCTCCGTATCCGCCAATGTAAACGACAGGAATTCATTTTGTTAGCCCTGCTTAAGTAAAACTAAACAAAATGAAACTGAAATACACATGAACACTACTGTAGCGCTCATGCATGACGTTATCTCCAATGGTCTTCTTCTAAATTGCCTTTCGTACATAATTTAGAAATGTAATGTAAAGACTTTCTAACAAGATTATTAATTGTTTGAACGAACGTACTCTCCCTACAAATACTTCTGGACAAATAAACAGTATTGATGTGCCGGAGTTTTTAATTTGACGGTGATCTTTTCAAAATTAATTTCTCCCTTCCGATGCCCTTGTTCATGGCCTGAAAATAAATCTGCCTTAATTTGAAGCAGGAGAAAATTTATTTGCCAATGGTTTGGTCAAATACAGACGTCCTGAGAGCGTAAATGCTGCGCATTTGGAGATACTTGTGTTTGAGAGGTTGAGTACTTTCAAAAGTTCGGCTATTCGTTTATGCCATCAGGACATCATCATTGATAGAATGAAAATTGTGTCGTGGCGTCAACTTCCTAATTCCACACAGACGTTCGGGATCTTGGTGATACGTGTGTAGTGAAATAATGTTAAGACCCTTTTCATATTGTTTTATCTCGCTATACTTTACTTGAGAATTACACTTTGAAGCCAAAGGCAACTTTTCTCATTTCGCCTGAAAAGTTATAAAGCTGTAGTGGTCCCTCAAACGCCAAAAACTGGGTTCATTGACGGTACCTCACGCTTGCTTATACCAAAAAGTGCTTCCTTCACCAACTAGCTATCGAAGTTCAAGTTTTCTCAGTGATTGCAAAGTTGGTATATGTCAATGCATTGGTGCGTAATGTTCTTCAACAACACAGCGGGACGAACGCTATCTTCATGCATCGGTACCTGCAAGTCGATTGCAGCAGGAAAAGATGGATGACTCACTTAGAGATCTTCAACATACTCTCCAGTCCCGTTTGTTTGAATTCCCCCGACACGATAACTATCAGACACTTAGAACGCTCCTCGTTGAAGCGAGAATGCATCCAAGATATATCTTGGAAGGGCTCTTAATGCTTTCATTTTAGCATCGGTGCAGCGAATCGAATGAGCCAGTAACATACAGCCGACCGATTTTTAGACTTACGTTTTCGGTTACAGAAACATAATCTTAATAGGACTCATCAGAGCTACGGTAGTTAAACCCGTGGCAACCTGTACTTCACAACTGAAACAAGGTTGCGAATTACGTAAACTAGATCGGCAAATAAAAAAAGAACGGATGGTTTACGACAATATCATAGTGACAGCGCCCTCAACCAGTCAACAAGCCGCGCCGGTGTAGACTGTAAATCTGTCCCCCGGTAAAACTGTCCAGGGGGCAGAATTACCTAGGTAAGAGTGTCCCCCTAGCCTCGTAAATTAGTCCCCCTCCAGGTTATTTTGTCCCCTACATGTAACCCCCTCCCCCCGTTTTGCGGCTGAGAAATTGTTAGTTTCATGTGAGTTTGTTGCATATAGTCCACATGAAATTACATGTAGATTGTTTAGCCCTTCATCAAGCTGTCCAAATTGGGGGTATCAGATGTAAAATCAATCGCGCTATATTTCAGCAAGAAATCGGAAAAGGCAACGATCCGTATTCTGCAGGCTTCTTGCACGTGCAGTAATTATTTATAGTCACGGACTGTCGGCACGTCACGGTGTAGGTATCACGGCTGATTTGTAAAGGAAAACGACGGCTCAAATCTTTACCCTGGCATCATGTCATTCCGTGCCTCGGCGCTCGAACCATATCCAGTAGTTCCAGTTCATAATGTCAGGTATGCTTCCAGCCGGGGGGTAGAAGGGATCCGGGCGTGATGTGCTGCAACGGCCCGTGCGCCTATTCCACTCATTAAAAGGGGAGTTCATAAAGAGCTGTTTCAATTAAGGCTACTGTCTCCAGCGTTTCTATTTTCTACAAGGACTCGTTCTATTTTCATTGTGTGTACACCAGCACCATGCCTCAAGAAGATTCTAGAATAGGATTCCCATTCTTGGCTTTGCGATCGTGCAGTGAATCCTACATGCCAATACGCTTGCACACGCTGCGCTGTGATCTCCTCAAATAAATACCCCCAGAATCCATGCATAACGATCTAATTTGTAAAAAACACAACTTTACCATTGAGTTTCTATTCGGGACATGTATGCGTAGAGGTCTCACCTTTGATCTAGGCATTGGACACCCACGTCCAGGATAGCCCCCCTCATTCAGTCGCCGTATTTTGACTTATGGAGCTTTCGAGGAAGAGCACGGTGTCTGTCCAAACGTTGTGCGAAAACAGTTGAAAAAAGTGCTATGCAGTTCTGGGTGATAGACTTGTGACGTTGCACGGTGATACACTTCTAGGGGAAGGGACAAATTATTGGGCATGGGAACAGATTTACCTAGAGGGGACAGATTTACCTCAAATGTGTCCCCGGGGGGACAGATTTACCGGGGGGGCAGTTTGACCTTTTACACCGGCTTGTGTGTCCAACTCCAGTAAGAACACGAGTTACCTTAACTGTCAGACTTTAATGTGCTGCAAGGGAAAAACCACAGACCCCTCCCTTTTACGGAGAATATCTAACGAAAAAAGTTAACACCAATCTTACTTTAATCAGAATACATGTAGTGGAATGAACAAAACTTCTTTTCTCGTTCTTCCTCGTGAAGTTTAGTTTGCATAGTACTTCCACATTGCCATTAGAAAAGCTTTTGTCATATTATCCTGTCAATGGCCATTCCTTGTCGTAAGACGTTCATTGTTGTAATGGCTGTATTTCTCGTTTGCCTTTGGTCTCCCCGATGCAGGTGTTAGAGGGCGCCCTCATGGAAAACAAGGGGGAACCGAACAAGGATGGCTCGTTTGACCACTGAGGAGCGCCGTACACCACGATGCCACTCATTATTTTCATTGACTAGGATCGTGGCTTAATCGGATTGGTTCGATGACTATATAATGTCGAGATTATATTTTACGAATAACGAAGCATTATAAACACTGTCCTCAAGAGTACTAGACGACGGAAAACGCCAAGACATTCTCCTGAGCATTTTGGAAAATATCCCAATGTTTTCTTAATGTGAATTTTAGAACATTGGTGAGAAATAAACAGTCAAATTGGTATCTTTTTTACAATTGGGATTTCTTACTTTATTGCTTCTGTTGAAATTTTCCAAGCGTCGTGATTAGTCAGAAATGTTTTCAATTTACAGCTGCCAAAATTCTTGCGATGTTGCAATCTTACGAAATCGTGACAGAAAACCACGCAGTCAAGAAGCCAGTGAATTTGACCATACAAATGTGACACAGAAGTAAACTGTTCCCCTTAACAAGTACTAGAAGCACTAGAAAGTTTTGGAGAATATGCTCAAGTTTTAATGTGAAGTAATTTGCATAAAGAAGGCTCTAGTGTACATATTTCCCAAAGGCTATTTCTGTAAATATTTGTTGGTTCTATTACAACTGATGTTAAACACTTGCGCCTTACGGTCTCTATGTATTTATCCAAGCTGACGGCATCGATGAAGCTTTTCATTTAGAAAGATACAGTGTAAGGTCACACTACCTATATTATGTAGTGGTCAGTAATATTATATTTTGTTCCCTTAATTCACATTTACAATCGAAGTGTCTCATCTGAAAGCATTCATTAATGTAACATATCCCCTACATGTAATGGATTGGTAGCTACATCCGGTGTGACAGCGTGAGTGTGGTGATGATGGAGTGTAACATTATTAGCATCTTTGTCACTAAAGTGTTACCACTGTGTTGATGCTTTCCAGAGTTGCTCATTAAAACTCATAGTACCGGTGTCGTACTGATTAATTTAATCAGATTTTCAAATTTACATTTGGATCAATAATAGCCAACAGATTCCCCAGCCCTGTTATTGAAACCTTGCAATTACCAACCTATGTAGTGAGCAATTACTATGAGGCTATTCCTTGATTAGTTGGATTGGTGATCAAAGCATTCATATCTGTAGTTCAAAAATGTTTCGGAACTTTCATATTGAGAGTTTGGGTAGTGTGTCCTCTCCAGAAACGGCCGCTTTTTTCCCCTTCAAATTCAATTGAAATGAAGTACATACGAAGAGTTCGTTCGGGCATAGGCAATTCTTAGGGATGGACCAATGCAATGGCAGTAACAAATCTAGAGAATTCCACATACTTGTCTACGTTGTGAACAAACATGAAAGTCCCACTATATGAGTGAGTTTTCTTTCCCGCGTATCGGCCAAGGAACTGAGCTGTAGGTAACACATTGCTTACTACTTCGACAAGATAACGAATGTTTTGTCACGTGGCTGAGTGCATTATGTGGTGTCGCGGGTTGGCAGAAAGGCTTCCCTGTTGTGTGATTAAGGGAGGTGTCGAGTGTGTGGATTGTGATCCCAAGGTGAATTTTGGCGTGACGGGTGGGTGGGGGAGGGTCCCCCGCCGAAGGCATGCCCCTTTGTGACCCAGATCAGAATACAGAAAAGAGCCTTGTGTAAAATGAAACGAATAGAGCGCCCTCTGATTTTATGCGCGCCCCCTACGGCTACAGCATGTCAGATTATTCACTATTATTTTGTACTATCGCATTTGCAAGTCGCCAGTCGAGAAAAGAACTTATTGCTTTGGCAACCACGCAAGCTGTGTCTCCCTTTCCTGTATAAAATTAAGTAAAGATTGGTTGCGAGAAGAAATCTTATCACTCCCATGTAGTTTTGTGGTCATCATTCCGTTCCTAAATAGTACCAGCTGTGACAATTATGGCGAAAAAGTAAAAGTAAAAATTTAAAAGTTGACTAAAATGCCACATTGTATGGCGAAAAAAATCGCTTGCGTAGATGTAGTATAGCCAAGATACATGTATGCAGTTTCATTAATTATTGTCAGAGGCCTTATTGCAGTAGTGGAACACGTTACGCCCCAATATCGCAATGGATTTGGGCTTGTCCCAACCGTAGATGGGACTTGGTGGGACACGATGTTTGTTTATTACGCAACTACACTATGTACTTTCCCATAGGGAAAGGGTTAATTGCCAGTCTTGAGAGAAGACTAGTCTTCGTGCACGCCTCTTGGAAGCTGGCTTCCCCTGTTGAAATGTCGGTCTTAACTTCCCTTTAAAAAAAGAGCCACGATTATAGCCTTTATTCAAGTTTGGTTATCCCAGCGTATTATGTAGAAATATCTGCTGTTGGGACAGGCCCTAACTATAGCTGGGACAAGATGCTAGAAGTTGGGGCGTAACAACCAGATTCATAATAACATTTATTATTATTAACGTTACATAATAACGTTATTGTATAACCAGTGGAGGAAATAAGTAAAATATTAAAATGCGTAGCAGTGACACGGTTTTGGCACTTGTTCGTGTGTTCGCGACAGAGTATTTTATTTAGTCTGGTTAAATGAATCAAGTTAAACTGAACGAAATAAAAAGTGACATTGTGGTCTCAAACGAAAAGGCCTTGATCAATGATGTCTTTAATAAGGAAACTTTGACACCAATTTTACAATGCCCACTATTTTATTGGCTCTTAAATGCACACTTTTTCACTGGGAAAAAGTGCTGATGATTCCAACCGTAATTTAAAAAATTGCTTGTGGCCTTCAAAGTGTCATCCAGACTTGTTGAGATCGTGACATTTTTTAATCCCAAGTTGACGGGATTCACGGGTAAGACGATCAATTATCAGGAATTGGAGACATAGTAAAATTGGCATGTCGACTTGTAAAATGAGGTAATTTATAACAATGAACTTACATCTGGAGATTTGAATGTCGTCGTTACCAAAACATTTGTCGCTGTAAGAATATCATCACTCTGTGATAGTTAGCAGGATGTCATCTTCATAACTCAGGATGGCGTCATCATTATAAATTAATCTCACCCCTAAAAAGTGTCAGATGTTAAACAACTCAAATGGCATTTTCAGTGCTCCAAATTAAAATTATACGGATAGGATTAGGGTTAGGGCTTACAAATTCAAAATCTATGGCTAGGGTTAGGGTTGACAAATTCAAAATTGAAATTATAGGGATAGGGTTAGGGTTTGGGGTTGACTTATTCAAAATAGGCTAGGGTTAGGGTTTATAAACTCAAAATTTAATGGCTAGGGGTTAAAAATTCAAAATTTAACGGCTAGGGTTAGGGTTGACAGATTAAAAATAAATTTTAGGAATAGGGTTAGGGTTGGGGTTTACAAACTCAAAATTCAATGCTTAGGGTTAGGGTTGACAAATTCAAAATTAAAATTATAGGGGTAGGGTTAGGGTTAACAATCTTAAATTTAATGGCTAAGGTTAGGGTTGACAAATTCAAAATTAAAATTATAGGGATAGGGTGAGGGTTTACAAACTCAAAATTTACAGCTAAGGATAGGGTTGACAAATTCAAAATTAAAATTCTAGGGTTAGGGTTAGAGGTAACCAATTTAAAATAAGCTAGGTTAGGGTTTACAAACTCAAAATTCAATGGCTTGGGTTAGGGTTTACAAATTCAATATTAAAATTAGACGGATAGGATTAGGGTTAGGGCTTACAAATTCAAAATCTATGGCTAGGGTTAGAGTTGACAAATTCAAAATTGAAATTATAGGGATAGGGTCAGGGTTAGGGTTGACTTATTCAAAATAGGCTTGGATTAGGGTTTACAAACTCAAAATTTAATGGCTAGGGTTAGGGTTTACGACTTCAAAATTGAACGGCTAGGGTTAGGGTTGACAAATTCAAAAATAAATTTTAGGAATAGGGTTAGGGTTGGGGTTTACAAACTTAAAATTTAATGGCTAGGGTAAGGGTTGACCAATTCAAAATTAAAATTTTAGGGATAGGTTTAGGTTTAAGCTGCAGTGAACCTCGATCTATCACGACAGGAACTAGACGAGACCCGCTCCTCCTATACACACACACCTCCGTGCGCTCCGTATAGGTGTGTAAGGATGGATGAACTCCCACGGTGTGATTGTAATGCGATGCACCGCTCCATAAACAATGCAAGAATTCAGTTTTCATTCTTCACTCTCTTTTTTATTAGGACTAAAAACCGTAGGGATAATAAAGAATAGGTTGAGATGCCGCCTTAAACCTGCCAACCGTAGTCTGCTAAGGACACCTTTTTCAAGGTTATATGCTCCATTTGAGCACTTCATTTAAAAGTAAATTAATCTGGTGTGTGGTCTTTTCCCATTATTGTTAGCAGTGGCGTCACGACGGGGAGGGGGGACGGTGGACATGTGCCCCCTCCATATTTGAAAACTTTGAATAACGTCCGTTGTAATGCAGCTCCACTTAGGGCTGTCCGTAAAGTACGCAGAACAACGCACGAGGGGGGGGGGTTGGTGCCGTTGCGTACACCATGCGTACATAGGTGGACGGGGGTTCAAGCCAGTGCGTATCGTACGCAAACCGAAAATTTGCCTCCAATGAATCGTACATATCAATCAACTTTTTCATACAAATAAATACTAGAATCAGTTTTTGTGCGTCGAAATTCAACCGCAGTATTCTCCATCGTCCACCCTATCATTTATCCTCCCTTGCCAACGCCCATTATTAATAACCCCCAACATTACTCATGACACGAAGACCGGCAGTGTCATTGTGGAATGCGTATGCATGTGGGGGAGTGGAGCCAATGTGTACTCCAGGCGTACGGGGAAGGAGGCAAGTCGGCAAGTCGGGAAAGTCGGCATTTCGCGCGTACATATATGGAAGGCCCCTTGTTGTCTATTAGTGCCCCCGATTGCTTCCCCCGGAAATTAGCCTCGTTATGCCACTGATTTCTAGCTGTCAGTAGCTACGTCCCTACCAATGTACTGATATCTATATAGCCATTACTTATCCCACATAACAGGATTGAACCTTGAAAGGGGGTGGGAAAACCTCAAGATTTCATTTAAGAAATCTTTTAAAGGATTTCCGACATTCATTCATACATAGGCTACAACAGCTGGACCAAGGGGTCCATATTTTCCTCCTTCTAAATTTCACTAGCCCTCAAGGTGAGTCTTTGACAACACCCTCCCCTGGTCTCCGTGATTCTGCAAGCCCAATTTCCTAATCACAGAAAAGTGGCATAGAAGCCTCTCTCAGACTTGGCTCAAGTCGGGTGCCATATAATTATATAGTTCGCACACCATCGCTGACTTCCAGCCGTAAATGTTCGAGGCAATCATGATAAAAATGTAATGTATTTCCTGTTTAGAGAGAATGTGCACATCGCAAGAGACAGCTATTCTATTAATGATGATATGAGCATCATTTATGGGTAATGGCGCGTACCGAGGATAATGTGCGACTTTTAACCTCCACCTGGGACGCCACGCAATCGTTTCCACCACTCCATCATTTTGCTCGAATGGAGCGTCTTTGTAGTGTAGAAAGTACAGGCTTTTCGTTACGTAAAGCCAAAACCAGGTCCTTTGGTACAAATGTAATGGTGGAGAACCACGTTGTACTGTGGTATAAATTTTCAGCCACAGCCATGGTCACCTCCTTAATTAGGCTACTTCGGGATTTATGGCCACGTCATGAAAAAGCGATAGTGATATGCATGTTGGCTCATGGAGACAGTGGTGATTTGTATTCACTGATTGTACGTGTATTGAACGCGTCACCTCAAGTGGAATTACAACAGAACCGGCCGATCTTCCTGAGTTCAAGGCTCTATGGGCCGCTTGACCTTGCCCTAGAAGAAAAGACTGTTAAGTCCCACCAGAGGAATAAATGTGGAATGATAACTCGGCGAGTGCATTAAGGTCAGAAGTACGTACTTGGCATTTTTTTTTTCAAATAGAAATGATCATTCCTTAAGTTTGGTTTCTTTGTTGTTGTGTTTTCGAGATGCAGAATTGGACGCTGATGTTAAAATTTTGGGAAGTGTATAAAGTGGAAGATATGTAAACTTCACTTTTCATTTTTTTTGTCGGCTGTAGCCCACTCGAAGCTTTTCTTTTATCTTCATAAATTGCCTCCAAGTGAAAGCTTTGTCAAAAGTTTATGAAAAACCTTAAAGCATGAAGTGTTCGATTTTCGACATTTTAAGTTCATAATTGTGGACAACACAAAAAAAATTAAACTGACAGTTGGACTGTTTGGTCATTGAATGCTGTCAAATACTTTAAGGATAACCCAAACTACTCGAAATTTTCTCCAAAAACAAGAAATCGAAAAAACAGTCGGTTAATCGGGTTACCTCTTGTTCAGGTTATGCGTCATTGTGATAAAAGAAACGCAAAATGGCAAAACAAAGTTAGAGGTCTGATGCCAGAAAACATTTTAATCAATTCCAATCGCAATTAAAGGTTTACAGCAAAACATTAAATGGTTACAGGTCAGTGCACAAGTGCAGCGTGAGAAGGCGTACCAACGACCTCACTTTCAACGTAACTTGTCATCAAAATTCCACATGAACTCTCTTCATAGCACGAGTGTTTGCGCTACACAACGTTTGTCATGAAAGTCAAGAATTGCACTTGAAGGTATATGTACAAACAATGATTACTATTTCAGGACCCATACCCCTGACCAAGTACCACGTGATTTCGTTCCCTGGTCACGCCTTAACACTGTACAGTTTTGTTGTTAGTGCATCGTCTTAATGTTGTTTAGGAAAAAAATGTTGCATCCTTACTCCCCTTCGGCAGTTGTGTACAAAGTCTACGGGGGTGAAGAGAATTTTCGAAGTATTTCCCAACAACATCGGTAGGCCTAAATGTTTCTCAGTCCATAATTCGTGTCTTTCCAGCATTTCTGTAATGACTGAGTGTTATTGTGATGACATATGAAGAGAAAAGTGGAGTCAGGATGCAACATTTTAGCCGTTGTTTATAATCACCATATAAACTGCAAGAGTTAGATCTTTTTATCAAAACGCCCCAGAGTTTTATACCGAAAGTAAATCAATGCAAGCATCTTTAGGGAACATTTCGCTAATTATGTAGTAGGCCTCTTGCCGTCATTGAATGGATGCCAGTGATGCTTTACCCTCTCTGGTTCGAATTTAACAAATATAAGTAAAAGCTCAGTTTTAACTCAGCACACAAAATCTATACTTTCAGACGGAGAGTATTATTGCACTCCATGAACCCTCCGAAAATCCTTCTTGGCAAAAAAGCCCTCTGGTATACCCTGACATCATTCAGGTGTTTATTATTTCCCCCTCCTCCGGTCGTCAGTGGTCGTAAACAAGTGTGGTTTACTATCTTGAAAACTAGAAGTTTAAGTTTGTGCATCGTGGTCCAAAGTCGTCACTTTTTTTCGGTTAGGAATTTTAAGGCAAAAATACGTAAGGATAACCCAACTTTACGTGTGGTGCGTTTATAACGGTTTAAGGCAAGATTAAGAAAACCCAGACTAATCAAGAATAGTTATCAAGGAGGTGGTCTCACATTTCAATTAGCAAGACCTTCAATATTTAGCAAGACCTTCAATATTTCATGGCAGAGTATCAGTGGAAAGAATGAATTCCTAAAAATGGCCAACAAACGGCCAAATCGGGAATTTTCAAACCGAAAATATTAAACAATTATCTAAATGTTGCAAATATAAATAGCAGTCGGCGAGGTTGGAGTTGCTCCAAAATGTGAAAAAAAGATGATCTCATTTTCAGAAACTAGTATCGTCATTTTATGGTTTTTATATGCCAATATCAAGTCCCTGTTGTCTCAAAGTTGAAAATAAAAGCAAGCAAACTTCAATTGATAGATCTTTCTCATTTGAGTCGGTGGCAGTCTGTGTGTTGGTCCTTCCATCTCAATAGGTGGAATGCGTCACGAATAAGTGCAGGATCTGTGAGGAGAAAAACATTTCCTGTACAAGTTTGAAGCAATTGATAAGTCAGTTTTTACGACAATTTATGGGTTTAGATTATGCCAACGAAATACATCGGGCCGTATGTCCATCTGTCAGAACTCCCGGTGACTTCATTTTTTTCTCAATAATCCAATACGCATTGGTCAATTCCACCTTGCATATCACTGTACAATTTCTGTATCCGCAACAATTCAGGTTTCTTGCTATGCAAACTTTATCCATGCGTGAAACAATTACGTGCAGCATCACACAAGCCGTAGAGATGTTTTAATAATCAGTCTGTCATATCATAATTGTTCAGTCGACACTGTGGGTTGGATTGAAGGCATTGGGAGCTTTGTAGGCGAGACAATTAAACCAATTTGGCAAATTGAACGCTTTTGTCTGCCTACGCAGAAAGCCATCAGAAAACAGACTTAATGAAATTGTTTCATCAAACCATCCATAATATCCAATGGTGCATTTTTTGCTTCACCTCTTCACTCCTACATAATTACGGTCTATTATTATATTCCCACTGTGAATTCTTAACCAGCATTTCATGTGAAATTTAAACCAATTTTGTGTCTCTCTGCCAAAAGTGGTGACGATTACGCACAAGCATAACTACCGTTTTAAGAAATCTCTTGGCTACATGGGTCTCTTCGTTGAATTGTGCTGAGATTTAGTACTGAAAACTAAGATTAATTCCGAATTTCAATAAGAAACAAGTGCAGAGTTTTTCATAAAAGAAAAGACAACTGAACAGTTTAACCGCCAACCACTTAAGACATGTAACGTTGCCAATTTTTACAACGTTCAAAGTCAGCAAAACAGGCATCCGGTATCATTTATAAGCAGGTTTTGTACTTAAATAGGCATTGATTTTATTTCCTCTCCATTAGTTCTCTTTGTCAGGTCCTTTTCGGTTTGCAATCCATTTTCATTTTCACATATTCCCAAGCAAAAAAAGAACGCAAGGAAAGAACTAAGTCCATCCATGCTCTCAACACAGTCTAACGAACCCTAATAAGACGGTATATCACATTCACTTTGACAGAAGTAGGCAGGATTTCAGACTTTCAAAATTAATTGAAAGCCCGCTCAGTGATAATGATGTTCTTCTGAACGCTGTAACCATGTGGAGGGCTTTACTGGCGTTAACTGATTGATTATCAGCTTGGGTGGAATGATAACACCCTGCCCAAGACATGGGGGGAGAAACACTTTTTCCCCATAGGGGATATAAACTTTGACAACTTTGAGCGAGAAATGGCCACGTCGCTTCTGCCCTTGAACATCTACTACGGAAGTGTCGCCAATTCGTATTAACTGCTAATGAATCAGCGAGTTTAACGTTTCCCGAGTGGCCAATGTTCCGTTGAAACGTGGCAAAATAATGTCATGTAAAAAATTCAGATGTGTGACAGTGAGCTATTCTCCTAGAAGTCCTTATCTTATTACAATGTAATGGATAGGTGACGATGTACTATTAAATAGTTCCCTTACCTGAAGTAATTCCGCCTTGCAATCATCAGGAATCATTACGTAAATATCCCTCAGTTTGCAAGTTGGTTCTTCCGACTCATCGGAGTCCTGAAACAGGACATAAAAATAAGGTTTTTGAAAGTTTAATTTTCTTTTGTTTCCTTGCGCTTTACATAAAGCTGGCAAAACAATTTGATTACATATCCTTACAGAGGAATGTTCAAAGATTGCATTTATCAACTATAAACAGCTCTTCAACATGAAAAGGGTCTTGAAAAGCGTTCTGCGTAACAACAAAGCGACGAGTAACCTTGGTCCTTTTGCGTTTTCCTTTGTTCGTTGATGAATCCCTGACGCTGTAGTGCGTGCGGTATCAAACTCGGATAGGTCATTTTGTCGTTTCTGCATGATTTGAGTAACCACGTAACCTGTTGCCTTGGCGATGAGAGTTTTCTCTTGATTGAGCTCGGCTGGCGCAAACGATGGCAAGCTGTGCTTGTGTTGGGGCTTGTGTGTTCAGAGAAGAGGCACATCACGAAGTCCGGATTGCCAGTGGCGGGAACGCGTTGAGTTCAGCTATCGATTACTGTACGCAATCTGAAGATCTTCGGGCACTGCATGCTTGGTTAGACCCGATATTTACTTTCGATATGAAATAGAATCGTGAAGGGGTTGATACGCTTCTTACGGCCGACCGCCCTTTTCGGTAACGAGTTTATTCAAGGTGTGCTATCTCGGAAGAAATAGCGTGTGACACGTCGCATTTCCTGAAGATGATTACTTCATCAGAACGGAAAATGAGACCATCTCAGGCCCGAAGGGGCTGTTTGTTGTTATTGTTTTGATTTTGATGATTCTCTTGTCTGTTCTTTTCTTTCTTTTTCCGGTTCATTTCGGCGCTGTGCGGTTCCAAATACTGCACTGGTCTCTCAGATACAGAACAAAGGGCAAACGTCAGCACGGCTACTCCTCGTGATGGCTCTTGAAGTACTTTATCATTTAAGTACTGACACATGCACACGCGTGTTAACGGCCTTGGTCTGGTCAGAAGAGAATAGCAGAAGAGTCATGGCGCATAGCAATTTAAACCCGAAATCTGTAAGGAGCATTCCCAATAATGACATCGGGTCTTCCAGTCTACCCAAATGAGCCAAATGACCCCAAATACGAAAGGTCCAGAAGCCCTTTAACCCTAAAAGAGCCGTGGCGGAATCCACCCCCTCCCCCAGCTTTTTCCCAATACTGCCGCAGCGTATTTTACTCAGGATTTGGGCCTTTAGGAGTTTTTAGAATACCTCTTTGTGGTCATTTGATACCAACTTTGTGAGAATCAGACATACTAATCTTGCCCAGCGAGCATTTCTCCGAGAGCCAAAAATGTATACTTTTTCCATTGCGGTGCTCAATGCACGCAGGCAGGCACGCATGTACCCTTGAACTTCAAATGACCGTATCGACAAAACCATACGTTTGATTGAGTTCAATCTTCACAAGTGAAGTTGCCAAAAGAATGAGCAAAGCACAGCCACGTTTTAGGGGCGGAATCCATCCCCGGCTGTGAGACTGGCCAGAGTAACCCGGCTCTTTTAGGGTTAAAGGATGACGGGATTGTTAAGTGCTTTCACGTGCACATGTAAGGGACTCGCACAGCGCGTGGCAGTCATGTACTCTCACTGAAGTTGGGCCTTTGCCTTTTAGCACATCATGACGTCAGAAATCCAGTTGGATGTGACCCAAGCCCCAACTCCACTGTCGTTGTCGTACTTGGGCGCCGTAAGTTTAGCGTGTGTCCACCTTCTGATCACGCACACTCCACACCATACTTGCACGAACAAATTGCATACGTATTCTTTGCTTCCCAGAAGCGATCATTGTGTTATTTTTCAACATAACACCTTTGGGTAACAAGGCTTGAATGAAGGCCAGATTATCATTACAGCTGTTTTACTTTTAAAATACGTTTTTATATATAATTTATGCTTAATTAGTTTTAGTTGAATGCTAATTAGTTTATCGCTGACAAATTCCTTTTTTTCTAATCCGTGGTTCTCGAGTATTATAATTGGGAAATACAGCCCGGAATTTCAACCGGGGAAGCTTCCATGAGGTTTCTTCTAAAGAGTGGCAATAAAGCTAATTCACATAGGAAATTGCAGGGCAAATCCCCAGACTGGTGTGTAAGTTTAGAAAAAGCACCTCTGGGCGTCGTTTCTGGGTATCAAAGCACGCAGAGCGTCCCATCACACCGCAAAATTACATCTCCAACAAAGAAATGCTCTCAGGTTCACCAAAAAGTCCCGTCCAACTAAAAAACGCATGCACAGCCTCCATTGGGCTTCAAGTCAATTCCTTCTGTGAGGGTCGGTAGCCTTTCCAAGGACACCGTAGTGTTGTCTTCTGGAAACTTCTGGAAGGCGAATTACCGCCCAAGGGCCTGTCGCCCTTACGCAATTTAGTCCAATTATATTGTAATAAAGTCTCGTTGGAATCTATCATTTATGTGCCAATGTAAAGGTAATTAACCTACAACAATTTTCAATAATTAATATTGGGTCTAAACTTGCGCGTCTTCATTTTGCAACATTTTTGGTATTGTTCTACCGTATGAATATTATAGGGAAATGTGTCTTCCGTACGCCGGACGAACGCTCGCTCCTTTTCTGGCTGACACCGAACGGTGAGACAAGCGTTTTTAATGGGGCCTATTTTTCTGCTTTTTGTTTCTCACATATGCCATTGTTGTTGTAATCTTGAGGTTGGGAGAGTGCATTCACCCTCCCTACGATTGCTGGTTGACTGTCCAGCCAATTGGACGTCTCCTAAATGAGATATTTTGTGCCCCAAAATCCTGTCAACAATTCTAGCGATCACATGTGTGTTCATCACATGTGATCGACCGTTCGTTGCATGTGCGACCATATGTGTACCGTACTGCATGCTCATGTCATGTTGTGCTTTTTCCTCTGTACGCAGCCACTGTGTAGAGCGAGGGCGGTCCCGACCGGCGTCCGGGGAATTTAGATTAGGAACTTAAGAAGTCCGGGGAATTAAGATTAGGAACTTACGAAGTCCGGGGAATTTACTAAGTCCGTGGAATTTGAGGTTGTGAATTTAAGTCTGAGGAATCTGAGTCTGGGAACCTAGATTGTAGTTTGTAAATTTGGGAATTCGAGTTTAGGAATTTTATTTCGGGACATTTGAAGCATCCTCCATTAGAGAAACCTATCTTTGGGGAATTGTCTTTTGTATTGGAACCTTATTGGGGTAACCTTGTCATCTTTTTTTTGTGATCTGGAGATAAGTCAACAAATATTACAGTGAAGTTAAAACTGCATACTAGTGTGATTGACGATTGATTATTTCTGGTCTGTTGTCTGTTTCCCTTGGAGCATCCGGTCATAAAACACTGGCGGACTCACCACAACGAAGTGCAAAACTGCACTACCCTGTCCTGACCCGTGGCACTTAATTGTTGGATTGAGCCAAGTCACTCTCTTCAATGGTCGCTTCGAAGGTGGCTCAACAACCAACTTTTTGAGGCACCCAAGTTTTTCCGGGGTAGGGGCAAATATACAGTGAGGGTCTTTATGTAATCTCGGTAGCCTTTCTATAACAGATGAGGCTTAATTTGCGGGCTTTCTAGGCAATTAGCAGAAAAACTGAAAACGAATTCCCCCTCCCCTCCAAAAAAGAAATTGGCCTCTCCTTAATTTTAAAACAAATGTCCTTCTTTTGATGGAAGCCGTGATCCCATTATGCCTCTTTCTACCATTGTTCGCTTTAACTTCACTAAATTCATACCCGCCGGTAACACTTCATCAAAAATCAAAGTTTTATGTGTTTTGCTTCGGTTGAGCTTGGTTGCCAATATCGTACATTTTTTCTTACCAAAGAGGGAAATTTTACTCTTTCCAACTGATACAGGGGAGAAGAAAATTTAGACGTTAAATTCACTGATTCGAATAGATGAGTTTTCACAGAAGTGATTCCTACCTAACATTCTTCAATCTCAAACTAGAGTAATTTTCATTTCAAAATTGTGTGTCTTTATTTCTGGTGAAGAGCGAAATATCACCGTTAGAGGGCCTATGCCAAGGAGAATGGGTTCTGGGTGGGCTGCGTTAGAATGGGATGGGGTGAGGGTGTGCCAGTGGTCAGTATTTTTCCACTCAGTCACCTTTGTGGCTTGATAATTAGAGGTCCTTACAAACCAAGAAATCAACTTACCCCAACCCAGTCAAGATTCTGATACACCAGTGGATTTAAGGACTGCTCGGGCGAACCCCTCTTAACTGTAAAACAGAAGGGAAGAGAGTTCAGCGGAAGTCATCAAACAAATCAAAATTTATGTCGAGACAAATAATGACCAAGTTTACTTCCCTGCGTCATGATTAGAATGAAGTGGCTGACAGCTATGCTGCTGTGAACCTACGCACAAGAGTTCGTATGTGCCATCACCAGCCACCTCAACACGACAACAATGATATGCAAAGAAAGTGTCCGTGATGATCACTCCATTCTACTCGTTCACTTGTGGCAATTAATGTTTAGAAATACTCAGGCATCACATGCCAAACAGAAATGAATTTCGTCTTTGTAACTTAAAAAGCTGTTTAGCCTCTCCCTAGGGGTTGACCAGCGGTATCTCAACGTATCTTTAAGTGTGTGAGATATCATGTTCACATTTTTGTAGCCTTAGTCAAGGTGGCACCCTTGATGCTTACATTCAACATGACAAATATTAATACGCGTGCTAGTGGTAAGGTAGTGGCCTTTCTGTGTTACCAGTACATGAGTACACCGGGTACCACGCGCGCCTTGACTAAAGACTAATTATTATTATTATTACGGGGGGGGGTTACTGGATGATGTATCTACTTTCTGACGCGTTAATTGCTTTAATGCTTTATTAAAATTTTAGTTTTGGGTTACTGAATAATAGCTTGCAAGGGTTTTTGTTCTCCTCAGTCGACATTAATATGAATAACACATTGCATTATCAAATGAATTTTCAATAACTAAAAATAATGATAGTTGTCTTTCTCTGACCGCTTACCATTAATATTGTTTAGCTGCAGCTTTTCTTGAAAATGTATTTTGCTCCAGCATCAAATATTTATGGAGTGGGTGAAATTTGTTAGCATTCTTGAATCTGTGAATTCTTCTTGTATTTTTCTGCATAGTTTGAAAACCACCGGCAGGAAAAAACCGCGACATGGCGTAGCAAGAGATAAAAATCGCTTGAAGAAATCACGGCTTGTAAATATCTTCAAATTGTTCCAGATACATTTCTTTGGAATGCGTCCAAAGGAATCCAAAGGTGAGGATTCTTTGACTCGAATGGGTTCAGACGCGCCATGTCCCTCCCTCCACTGCTGTTCATTGTGTATGAGAACTAAAAGGTTTATATAATTTGTCAGACAGCTGTTGACAGCTGTAGGCCTAGACAGTGTCTACTGATGGTGGACATTGTCCAGTAGAGAGTGTCTACTTGTGGCATAAAAAAGTTTACTTTGATAACGAGGAGTTGTTAAAACTTAAGTTAAACTGAAAGTAAATTGGTTAAATGCAAATTTAAAAAGAAAACTACAAAACAATAACAATAATCCGTTACAATTAACAAATAAATCAGTAATAATGACAAAAAGTGACCACGAAATTGAAGGAGTATGTGAAATAATGAACAGGAAACATGAAAAATAGAAGTGACGTGAATAATAAGCTCGGTAAATCGAAACCTTCAGAGAGATTTGCAACCCTTCGAACGTCTTAATCGATGCACTTAATAAGAGCGTTTGTCACAAGTTGTGTTTAACGCAGTAATCAAATGTCCCAACTGCAGTTTTTATGTCTATCAAGTCCACTTCGATCCGAAAGTGTTTTTACATGTAAGAATGTACAGTTAACTGTACGTTCTGAAAAAGAATGTTCGGTTTATGTACATTCCTGAGGATAATCACATCAGTAGTTTAACAACAGAAAACTTGTTTCACAGTCACCTGATGCATTTGGTGACAGCTTCTGTGAAACGCTTCAATGACTAGGGGCAGTCTTTACGACGGCTGTTTTAGTACAATTTCAAAGCATGAAACATGTTATACCTAAAATTGTTATACCCTAAAAACGAAAATGACTCCTGGATTGTTCGATTTTTCTCTAAATCTTTTACAATGTTAGTCATGACTCCTTCCCATGACAAATGCTAATAATAAAAATTATTCCTTCCACCTGGGGAAAACCTGACTCAAGGCCGGTTTGTTCTCGATGTGAAAGTAAACGCGAAAATGAATTTGCCGACAACGCACACACGAAACCCTTGCAAGATTCGCCCTACATGCCTAAAATTTGAAATATGTCCAGCTTCTGTGAACAATACGGTGCGAGCAGGCCTTTCGATAGATTCGATTCGATAGATTTCATCCGCCTGTCAGTTTATCGATCAATAATGGATTCATACACCAGTTTAAGTAATTGTAAGTTTGAATTTGACAGACATATGTACCGTCTCTTACACAACAAATATTTCTGACTTTTTACAGTCTATAAATGGCTTTGTATTTGGAAGGCATAACTAACACGTCTTTTCAGGTTTAACTTTGCATCATGAGGCAAAAACAGGCGGTAAAGCGAAGATCCATCAGGTGATTGCCAGAGTAGCAACGCTCGGTGGCTGCGAAACATTAATGCCTAGCGCAAAATTACACACTTCCAACACAAAAAGGCGAAAGATCGATTCATCGCAATGTACACGCAAGCAAATTCTACAACAACTAACTCATAAATAAGGATGCTTTAAGTAGAAACTTAAACATTTTAGAAATGAAACAATCCGCTTTCAATGTTTTGAAATGACCTGTACACCTACAGTATCCGGCATGGCATTTGGCGAACTGATTCTTCGTCGATTTTCGTTCATTATTTTAAAATGTCCATTAGAAAGAGCGTATTATGTTCGGTGACCGCCTTTTCAGGGCGGAAAGCATACTGGGTTTAGTATAGCCTTTAGTCAAGGCGCGCGTTGCTCAATTTTTCAGTCTGATATATATCACGGGGGTGGCAAAATGTTCAAGTTCCTTTGTGTCGGGTTATAGACGGATCCGGTGACCATAGTTAACTATCATTGGTTATTTGCAGTGTGGCCCACGCAAAATGGCAGAAACCATAGTGAAAACTATTCTACAGTCCGTAACAGTTGCTCCCCGTACAAAACCAAACACAATACTTTCCGCCTTGAGGGCCACGGTAAACGTCCAGGGAAACGTCGCCCCATTCCAGACAACACACTGCAGTGGTACTGTACTCCACACACGCGTTCTTGAGCTTGACGCGAGCGTGCATTTGGAAGGTTATCGCACCCTATTGGTGGAGGAGGCAAGTAGCACGCTTGTACAACCAGTCCGTGGACATTATGGGCGTCTTTGATTCACACGGATCTCAACCTCGTTCCCATGAGTACGATCTTGCCGCGCCATGTTGGTTCCCACCATGCCTTGCGCGATCTAACCCCTGGTACTGTATTATTTAAATATGTTACTATGGTTGCGTTCAATTAGTTTACACGTGTCAGTCAAACTTACAGTCAAATTTACAAGCGTTCCATCACGTGATCCTCGCACATGCTCTGGTGTCAGCCACCACTACCCCGGCTGGCGAGCGGGTGTCTGGAGGCTGCCCGAGTGTAATGACGTCACGGATGGATTTTTCGAGCATCGACACGATGGAACGTGGCAGGGACTTGACCTTTTTCCCAGAATGCCTTGGCGAATACACTGCAGCGTTTGATTAGCCTCGTTTTGAGGCTTCCCTTGCGTGTAACAGTCGTGTATTCAGGGAAGCTAATCGAACGCACCCTATATGGGATATTTAAATTAGCCCTTTAGTCGGTGTGTTTACACGCGACGCAGATTTAAGCATGCATGACGTGAAAGAAGATATAGGGCGCGAGCTTGTAGCCTTTAAAATACGCGTGCAATACGGGTGCATTCTACCGATGCTGGTATTTCTGCGCGCAAGCTCATTAATATTTTGTGATCCCATGGGGTTTTACAATAAGACAGGCCATAATCAGGGGGGATCAAAGAAATATTTCTATAAATCTCGAATTTAGGACTGATAGTTTCCAGTTCGGGGTATTTCTTTCACAAAAAGCCCAAAATTGTGGACCTATTTTGGATAAAGGCGGGCGGCTACATTCAGAAATGGGCGCTTAGTTTTATTGCTATTTTCGGGGTATCTTCGTTCAAAGGCGACAAAAAAGATTTCGTGGCTAATCCCCATGAAGTTGAAACGAAAAGTGATCTTGTGGCCATAATCTTGAATTTCCAGTGAACAAATGGAGGCCAACCTCTTCACGAGAGTCAACAGGCGTCGCTATTTCGGTCCGATTTTGCACTGTTTTCTACGGGCGCGTATTTGGTGTAGTGCAATCACAATAAGGCGCCTCCAAGAGTTTGCAGCGCGTTGACCAATCACGACGAACAAAATCTGTAGACACAATGCGCGTTTAAAAATGGTCGACAAATTTCACGCATTGTGATTGGCCAACGCGTTGCAAAATCGTGGAGGCACACTATTGTGAATCGTACGCATTGACTTTACGATATCTCCATTATAGTCTATAATGGAGATCAATGATAATTATTCATAGCCAGTTAGAGTCATTTTCGAATTCTACACGATCAGGGGCTAGTGAAGAAACATGCAGTCCATGGATCTCGATCAGTGATCCTAACGCTGGTTCGCTTCATCCACTATGCGAGTTTTGGTGTCCGTAAACCAACAAAGGATCACTGATAGTGATTCGGATTTGTGTGAAACAAACGCAGCCTCAATCACACCGCTGCAAAGGCTCCTTATAGATCTGCTTTGCCAAATTGCACAAGGCTTAGGGTTTCCGATATCGAAGTGGTTAGGGAGTTATTATGTTATCAGGTTTGGTCATGCACGTGTGGTCATGTTTTGCGCTGAGCCATCTCTATGGAACATGAAACCTTATCATCGGATACGCAATTAGAAGGTATAATATGTATTTGTATCCAATAAAAGATATAACTCCGTATCATATCACCTCATTATTATAAAGCAGTATCCAAAAAGAAAATAATGATAATAAATTCTGAGATTAAACTCACCCTGCCCCGTCAAGACCCTCAGGCAGTCTTCGGTCGTAATGCCGTCACGGCAGGGAACTGCTGAAAAACCACAAGTGGTGAGATTAGACTTAAAATCCGCAAAAAGTATGTCAAGTTGAAAAGCAACTCAGAAACACGAATGGCTGTGATCATGATTCCTGTTCCCACATGGGATTACAGGATCAACGAAGTGAGGCGTCTTATCTCGAAAATGGCACACTTAGGTATAATCACGACCAGAATGGCTATTTAGAGCTTAAAGAATGCTCTGTCCTTGTTGTCTAATTTTGAGGTTTTTGTAAGACTGCCATTCCGGACGTTCCCAGTCCAGAATGCTCCCGGCCAGCAACTAGGACAATACACTCCGCATTTGGGAAAATGAGTCCTCGTCAGCTAGAACATTTTTCCCGCCGTTTGGTTTATTTACAGGCAGTTTCATACTAATTTAATATTTCAATAAGAGATACATTTCATATTTTTAAAAGTATCTTAACGGCAGGAAAATTGGCTAAATATGGATAAAAAGAAGTAAAAACCTATCTTCACATGAAAATTAATCCCTACGCTGCGATTGCAATTAACCCTAAAAGAGTTGGGGCAGAATCCGCCAATCTCGAATTTTTTCCGATGTGGCTGCAGTGCATTCTCGAAACTTATCCTTAAAAAGTTTTCATACTAACTCTTTGAAGTCATTTTGACACCAATTTTGTGAAAAATCAAACAAACTGTTCGTGCGAAGCGCGTATGTTTTCTGAGACAGGTCAGCAAAAAATGTATAATTTTTCCGCTGCGGTGCTCAATGCACGCGGGCTGGCACGCGTGTAGCATTGAACTTCAGTTGATCGTTACAACAAAACCGCCTGTTTGATTTAATTTAAACTTATCATTTTTAAGATAAGGATGTTTTGATGTGCTTGTTGATTTAAAATAAATCACGCTTGGCACAGCAGCGTTATTAGTTGGGTGGAATCTGCCCCCACCCGACTGTGTGATTTTGTGCGGAAGTATTCATCAAAGTTTATGCCTACTTTTTCCAACTCCGACCAATTCCATCATATGAACGTGTATCAAAAAACAGCGGCGGTGCTCGCGGAGAAAATTTGGAGAGGTAAGTGCAGTAACTAATATGGCCCCATTCATCCCCAGTTTACAGCTATCATAATGGAACTTACGTGAGGCTGTTGTTCTAACGGCTAATAGTTGATGAAGAAACAGCAACAACATCAGAAAAGTCCAACCTGATTTCATCGTCATCGTTTCTGAAATGGCGAAAAAAGAGCCCGTTTGCGCCTGACTATTTAACACCTTAGCTTGAACTGCGGGGCAAAGTTGTATCGAGATAGAGCAGAAACGAAATCCAAACCACGGCGAGATATGGAGCAGACGGAGGCTGAAATAGATAGTAGATGACGAGGTTGAAGTTTGCAGGTGCTGTATATCCTGCGATGCTGTCAAGAGATACCAAACCAGTGTGGCTCTCTCTTGTAAGAGTGTGAGTTTTATATAGCCGCAGACATGCAACGTCGATACGCATCTGACCATGTACGCTGTTGGAGAATTCACCAGGACGTTAAAAACAGGCGTAGCCGTCGGCTAAATATATGAGGGGAGCCAACAGGCGTAAGGTGATTTGGGCTTCTCTGGCACCGCACGCGTGTTTGATGCGACGTAAATATCGCTAATGCTAACTAAATATTGACCAGGTTGGAGTGCGCGTTATTTTGTCCGAGTTTACAATGAAAACTAGCGCCCAGCTGCTGGCCGAGTTCTACGCGCAACTCTTTTTGACGAAGGAAAAGAGAAGAACGTAATTAAAAGAAGTCAGTGTTGGCTTTGGAAATGAGGTCAGTTCTCCACCGCTATGGTTTCCTCCTCACAGTTCGTGGTGTTGAGTTTCAAATTGCTTGCGGTTTCAAATTATTCAAGTTAATTTGGTGGTTGACACGATATTTTTTCTGAGGAAATTTATACGCGTTGCGTTTAACGCAGTTTTAAGCAATGTGGCCCTGGAGTGTGATATTATCAGTTATTTAACGAGTGTGAGTAGAACAATGTAATGGGTCTGTGTCCCGTTTTCACGAGGCCGAAGATATACGGGACACAGACGCACTTCGTTACTTTATGTGTCACAGGAGCCCGTATGATAACTAACAGACCTTCCATTTCTCATTTGTAACGGGTTCATTCGTAAAAGCTGTTCACACGAAAGCAAACACGAACACACTATTGTGACGTCAAATCAAAACTTTGTGCTCCTAAATCGAAAAACACTTACACAACTGAAGCGAGTTTAAACGCAAGTGTTTCATGACGTCAAGTCCAAGTGCGCTTTCGCATTCGCCTAAAGTATGAACCGGCCTTAAAGAGAAACCTTTTGAAGATGTGCACTTAAAGAGCTGCACGTGTTTTTACGAACTTACTTCTTCGCTTTTGTAAACATCGAATGAAAATGATTCAACGAATAAATTAATTATGTCGTAAGTGATTAGAAATGTTGATTGTTTTTAATCATGAATTTTTGCCGGGATGGACCATCAACGACAAATCACGCGTATCTGAAAGGCGGAGTAATATCGGTGAATCAACAAGCGAGCGCCGAAATCTGTAGAGACTTACTTCCGGAGGCGAAATCCTGAAAAACTGATTTAGAAGATAACTTAGAGTTGCGTCGGTACATTTGATCTTGTCTACGGATCAAGACCGACAACTTTAAGTAAATTCCTGTCTCTTATTTAGGGTTTGCGAAAGAAAACCTCATTTTGCGGACTTGTAAAATTGCCCGCAGAGAGCTGTGCCTTCCTGTATTCTGTCGAGTTGTCTGAATTCACAGCAAGCTGGAGGCGCTTGACAAATGGGGTCGGAAAACCAAGATGACCCCTTCACACCATTCTAAAACTGCGTTGCTGGAAATTAAGAGTGGTTGATATAGAGAGCGGTCTACGGTTGCTATTTAACTACGTTGAGTTTTCTTATTGAAAGTCACACTTTTATCGGTGAGTAGATTGAGCGTATTAAGTCACGGGTGAATGTCAATTTTATCAGCACGGTCTGGTAAATACTATTGTTTCCTTTCACTGTAACTTTTCCTGCTCGTCCCAAAGTTCGATCGGATTGGGTTTTTTTCTCAGCTCCGGTAGGTGTTGGAGAAATGGGGGTGGGGACGGGGGTTGTGGGGGGGTGACTTGCCCGGCCATGGAAACTCAGAAAGCGGGGATGAGGGTGCTGACACCATTTATGAGACTAGGGGGCGATGTTCACGATACGGATTTACATCTGCAATATTTATCTATGTATTGCACTCCTCCAGAATCTTACAAGGAAGCGGTATATTTATAGTTTTTCACTTGTTCTTCTTTTTTGTTTATTTTAAAACTTCAGACATTGAAAAACACTAAAGGCTGTACAGGGGCTGTCTAGGAAATACAAATGTCAAAAAACCTGTCATCCAAAGGTGTGTGTAACCAGGGCTGTCTAATGCATTTTGGTTGTTGGGAAGTCTGGCAAAATCTTCACGATCATCCTTAATTTTTTCTCACCACAAGAAAGTGCATGGGGGTTAATTCAATAGCCCATCCCCTTGTCAAAAATTGGGGAGATACAATGATAACCCAATTTCCTGAGATTTACACCCATGCTCGGCCCTCGACCGAGGTGGGCTCTCAGGCTCGTGCCGTGCGCGGTTTACCTACCCTTAGACTGGACGAAGCTCGGCCAAGTCCGACCGTAGCACGGCTAAGCTTTGCCTGCGAAGCCTGCCTCAGCTCAGCTCCCTGTAAAGTCTTCTCCGCCCCTCTTGTTTTTTTCGTTCAGTTCACATTGTGTCGCCTCAACGCCCGGGCAAGTAAGATTTCATCAGACAGATAAATTCCATATGATCATAATTTATTAACTAGAGGCCAGGATTCTATAACAGGACGTATGTTTTCACTTGGGACATTTAGGTTGGTAATCCGATCTCGCTGGGAAAAGGGTTTCTCGCCTTCCTTCGCCCTTCAGCGCATGGGACCCCTCGTGTTTTACAACAAATATTAATATTTTGATAATATTTCTATACCAGTATTCAGCTAACTAGCCAAAAGCCTTTTGCCATCGGACACTTACGGAAATGTGGCATAAAAACAACCCGCTCCTCCCAAAAAAAAGTGCTCGGGGAAGCGGAAATAGAACTGATATCTCTGTTCACCTTTTGTTTGCGGGTACTCGCAGTCTGAACGGATGCGCCAAGCGAAGGGGGGCAGGTGATGCAATGGGCCCAAACAGCCACAGGGCACGGGCATGATTGGCCGGGATGGGACAGGTCCGCGAAGCCGTGAAATGAAGTCATCGATACCGGTGAAAAGGACACTGTCTCCAGGGCTGAAATGGGGGGGGGGCGAGTTTGACTACTCCCTCCAAACCCTGTTTGATGCGTTACGATTTCAGGTTTGCCACACCAAGTAATTATGTGAGAAACTTTCTGAGTCATGGTGTGTTTTAAAAAAAACGGTGATCAAGAGCTGCTGGTGTCTTGATATAGGATCACACACGTGGACCTATGGCGGTGGATTTGTAAGATGTAATTAATAGACAATGTTTGCTTTTTTTCATTTCTGTAACTACTATTCATTCAGCTTTCCTCGTGTATTTATAAATGAAGGAAAAAGGGGCACAGCCAAGATTTTTGGTGGGGGGTTCCGGTAATTTCTGTTCGTTCAGGGGTAAGTAATTGTCGCCGTTGGTAAATCCATTTTAATTAATCCCTTTGTTTTGGCCTTCATCGTACACACAAAAGACCCCCACATGGTTTTTGCGGGGTTTTTTTGGGTGGGGGGGTCTTCCAACCTTTAGACGTCGACCTGCAAAAATGGCAATGCGCAGCAGGGGTTGAGGGGTTTACCCCTGAATCCCCCTTTGGATCCGTGCCTCAGGTATTTACATATTCTTACTTGAGTCCCGTCTCATATGACAAGCAGAAAAGAGACCGTATTATCGACGTTTGTTATCAACCTAAAACTGGCAAATTAAAAGGCAGATAAAACAAGTCTGAAGGAGCATTTTTGGAGATACTATTAAACCGTCACTGCCTGGTGTCAACTTACGTTACTCTAGTTTTTGACCCATCTCTAGTAAAGCTAACTCAATTAGAGTCTTTTCTCTTACTCAAGGTCCATCCCCGTAGGAAATGTTATCCGTGCGATTGTATACAACTTGGCAATTCTCATCCACGCCCCGAGGCCTTGACTGCTGTCCCGTACCACTAAATTCAACTTTCAGATTTAAAAAAATCCCCATTGTATCTGAACATGGCTCACTTCAAGAACCTGGCAAGGCGAATCTCGGCCAAAAACAGAATATAATCACCAACATCACCTCAGCTTGATATTTGACGCCATTGTTGACAATGTATCAAATTAATGTATCAACAAGTGAGTTTTCCTCTGATACAAGTATATTCAATACCAAAATGACCTCGCCCCCTTGCCTTGCATACGTTTATGTCCAAGAAGGTGAAGTCCAAAATTAGAAATTTTAATTCAATTGATAAACATGCATTTGTGATCCTTGTTTCAAGAATAGGGCCACATACCGATGTGTGACCCCATTTTCCTTATTTACTGTGTGAAAAACAAGCATGGTGATGCATAGAAATCATTCGATCTGTTTGTGTTCTTATTTCTTTGGCGCCAACTGTTACATAGTGAACTGTGTATCAAACCAACGGACAGTTTAACGTATGGTAATATATCCAGTGTCCAACGAATGTAACCAGCATCTTCCTACGTCACAAAGATTTCAAATAAATCCTGCCCCTTCTTGGCAGAACAAGCACCTGTCTATTAGGGCCAACATGCGTCTTTCACAAATAATACCGGAGTACAACACACCTGACCTCTCGAGAATTGATCTCCTTGTCTCCTCATTGAATTATTTTGCCACCTGATGCGGTTTTCTGACTGCGCGTGCCTTATAAAGGGTAGCTGCAATCAATTTCTTTTAAAACAGACGTTCAAAATGCACCTTGGTGTCTCAGTTAACCTCATTTTAAACTGTTGTGTCACTATTTCAAAGGGTATTTTACTGCCTTTGGTTGTTTTCTGCTCACCAGTATTTCCATATTCATGAGCAAAACTGTGATGTCATCCCAGGAAGAAAGCCTTGAATTGTACACAAAAGTCCTGCATTTTTGTAGATTTTTCTGGACTAAATTTTCTCTTTGTTGAATTACTGATTCATGGTTGTTTATGTACATAGCAGTAAGCAGGTATCAATCCTTTTCTCAGAAATGTTGTCATTAAGTAAATTCTGGGTTCGCTACATAAACTATGCACTAGATGACATCACAGCAACATCGCCCTCAGCTGTCCAGGATAGCATGAATAATTTTAAGTGTTTGAAAAAATATACACTTTTCAATGCGTTCAACCAAATAGGAATGTAACAGAGTTTTCATACACTGTAAAAGAGTACAAAGTTGCAGAAAAATTTTGTCTATGAAAAATACATCGCAGCTTCACTTATCTGCATGAGTCAACGACGTGTTTGCCCGTAAATCCATTTGAAGAAAATCAAAGGATATGGCCTCAAATGGTCGTTTTAACAGATTCAAAACTTGTGCATGTATGGAGATCTCTGCGGTATTCTTGTCATGAGATTACTGTGGATGGAACAGCATCGAAATATTTATTTGCATGGAAGAATAGGACATACCTGTCAGCAATAGGATAGTTTGAAATGTCCCAATATATTTCTTTCCATTCTCCGGGGGACATT